CACCGCGATATCCATATAGTGAGACATTAAAACCGCCGGAACTTGCTGAATGATAACTTTCACCGTGATTAATAAGCATCGAGTCTGATAAGAAAGCAATGTCACAATTTGACCTTTTTGATGAAATACTAGTAGTGATGTCATTCTTAACCAATCAGTGAAGCAGATGCATAAAGGTCAAAGATGATTGCTAGACTGTAAACAAAAGCATCGTGTGCCATCGCAGCAGAGTGACCCCATTTTTCTTGTCTCTTTATTATGATTAGACATGAATGAAAAGTGCCAAGCTGGCAGACTGCGAAATCCATGGATTAAATGTGCTTAGTCCAAATTGTGTGGGAAGATATCGACGAACTACAGGAATAAGTTGTAGGGATTTTGTTCGACGGCTACAGTGACGCCGACTTGGACATTTGAGGGTTTTGAGTTTGACGATGATGGCAATGAACGTACAAATAAATATCTGAGTCTGAAGCTATGAATTTTTATAATCTTTACTGTGTAAATTTGTAAATTATTATTGATCTTGTATGACGGCTGATTCGTAATTTGTCTAGACCGGAAATCATTTTACGCAGTTTAACCCCTCACATTTTAATTCATTTTGAGTTCACGTGTATTGGACGTGTTTGTCGGCGGGAAATCCTAATTCAAATGATTTCTCACTGTCGATTTTTATTATTTCTGGTTTATTTGTCACATTATAAGCAATACATTATTTTTGTTTTACTTCTAGTGTTGCTTAGTGTTCATGTATTTCCGTTGCATGTTTTCATTTGCTGTACTATTCCCTGTGGCAGTTCGATCTGCGTGTTATCAATTTTCGCGAACTTTCGTTTTTTTTGCCGGGGATCTCCTGGCAAACGCCTACCCCTTCTTTTTGGCAATTTTCCATGTTCAGGACCCTGGTCTTATACCTGGATAAATACGGTATGCCTGAAGGCAGTGGGACGATCATATCGAACAACTTGTAGTGGCGGTTGTTGCATTCCTGTGCTGCATGAGTGCATACTTTGCGGTATTCTCATGATAGCCTAATTGATATATTTGTTACATCTTTTTTCTGCTTATAGAAATAATCTGCTGAGAAATAACAGCTTTGAAAATGGCAACCAAAAACGTTATGCATTCTGTGAAAGTTTGGGCTTATGAACAGGATTCTGTTTCCATCCTACGCTGTAGCATTTCTGTATTTGTTTTAAATGAAAGAAAGTGTTTGAATATGACATAAACTTGACACACATTCTACATTTTTGTATAATACCAGTAATGCTACTGATATTGAAAAGTCTTGAATAATTCATCTATTTTTGCTGCAGACTCTCTTGGTGGCAACAGCCAAACCTTGATGATAGCTTGTGTGAGTCCTGCTGACAGTAATCTGGAAGAGACCATTAACACATTGCGCTATGCTGATAGGGCTAGACAGATTAAAAACAAACCGATTGTCAACCGAGATCCAACTCAAGCAGAACTGAGTAGACTGCGTCAACAGGTAAAATTCATCTCATTCTGCAGAGAATAACTTCTATTGTTGACATGGCAACTAATATTAGTATTATTTTAGAATTCACAATATTTCAATTATAATATGTTCGTTTCTGCAATAATCAATGTGACTTCTGAGCTCAACATCGATTTTTAGCATATTCCTCGTTTTGCTGTAAAGTGCTTGTGAAAATGCAGGGAAGATGAGAATAAGCCAGACACAAGTGTAGTCATGTCTGCCATTCTGTGTATACTAGTGCTAATCAAATACGCACAAATGACCTTTTCCATTGTTTTTGTCTGATGTAAATGTCTTCCCTGGTAATCTTACACCATGATACAGTTGAGCAAACAGTGTGATAATATGAGGTTATTACGAGGATACCTTAAAGTATGTATGGCGTTGGTGTACTGTCTGCATACTTCGGGGTATCCTCATAATAACCATATTATTATACATCTTTTCCTACCAAGGATACATCATGGGAATGCCAAAATCCAAAAAGTTTAGAACAGAATCGGGGAACTTCATTGTGTGGAGTCCGGTCAAACCCTGGTAGCAGCCATCTTTGTTTTTATTATTAGTGGATGCTTACGTGCGTAATCGTTCGATATTTGGAATTCGCATTTCCTAAGATGGTAGGATGAAAATACCCCGTTAAATACCGCAAAATTACGACACACTGTAACTTATGGGGTTGTGGTGAAAGATGTACAATGTATAATTCTATATTTCATCTGTCAAGTGTTATTTACTAAATCCTGTCTATTTTAGGTACAACAATTACAAGTACAGTTGTTAAATAAAGGTGGGGTTGTTGGAGATGGTGTAGGTTTAAGGTACGTAAAATTGAATTTAGTAAAGTTATAAAACTGTTGCCCGAACTATATAAATATAGTTTATTATTTAATAATAAGGAGCATGTGTTTATTAATATTTGAATGGAATTACTCATATAAACACCTGTCAGCTTCTGTTCATTTCATACCATATTTATAGAAACTTATGTGGGTGTATGATTGAAGTGTTTTTCAGAAGTAACATGGTCAGTTCAGTAGTAGCATTAGAAACATTAGAAACTATTGTCTTTATTATTATATTCTGATACAATTCCTTATTAGTTTCTTCTTCATGTGTACATATAATTTGTATTTGACAGTGGTGATTCATCAGCTAACGTCAAAGTGCTTGTTGAAAAGAATAAAGCATTAGAGGTAAATGTACTATAATTTGTTATTTGAGTTTCCCTTGTATGCATTGTAAGCGGTTATAACTTGTTGTGCCATTGAATATCTGTAGTCAATAGGTAATTTTCTATTCACTGTTCACCTATTGTGTGAAAGGCAGCAAAAATCAAATGATTTGATTTTTAATTTAATTTCCTAAAGCTTTTTTTACCTATACTACCGTAAAAATCATATTTGAGGTCGCAGCTTTAATTAATAGAAGCTGCACATCTAACTTGAGACATTGTTTCATGTTTTGAAATTGACAAGTTTTGATCCCAGGAAAAAGCCTGCAATATAAGCCGCACTCCAAACTTTCACAAACCAAACAGCCACCACATATTTCAGAAAAAGATATACCATTTAATTTCAAATTAAGGCATAATTTTTCGAATAATTCAATGATTTAGAGTCCAATTTAGGTTTTCCCGTAGTCATTGATGCTTATTCCAGAGTGAAAGGTTTTTTGTGGGTAGCGTGAATGGGTAAACTGCGCATTTCGACAATGAGCTGTTATTATCGTCAAAAGTGTTAAATTCTTCTTCAATGCTCAGCTTATTTTTCAAAAACACCTAATTTCTTGATTTAAAAAAAAATCATGCCGTTTTTCCCATCAAAATCAAAGCCAAATGATCGCACTACAACAACGGTAAATCTCGTCCGGGTTTCGTTTACCACGAGGTCGCTAAACCACATTAACATATTTAAATGAGTTATGGTAATTTAATCACGTTGGCACCATCCAGCGTTTCGATTGGTTAATTAGCGACTTGACCTATTAGGTCAAAAAACAGTTTCAAGTCACTAAAGGGCTCATACCACTAATTGAATTTCCATAGACGACAATGTTAACATATGACGAGATTGCTATATGAAAATGATGAAGAAAGTTGAAAACATGGCTCAAAAATGGGAAATCAACATGCCAGTAATCAACCATATGAAAAAAACTAACATGTTGGCCAGCTCAAACTCGTGCAAATCTCAGGTAAACAAGACACACCTACTGTATTAAGATTGCACCTAGAGAAATCACTGGAAAAACACCAAGATTAGAACATCCAAATACACACAGAATAAACCCACAGGTACACAGTCGCTAAGTAGTAAACAAAAGACCACATGTTGGTCTCACCTTTGACCCAGGTGATTACGCCCTCAAACAGGGAGCACCTGAGAAAAAACAAATTTTAAAAATTTCATTGATTCTTGCTAGGCATTTAAATTGAGGGCTACGAGCAGCCATTGGTTGATTAGTGGTATGAGATCTAAAGATGTTTGAACGAACATGGCGGATATCGTATCAGATTGAGCGTTTATGTGACCGAAATCATTCGCTTGCAGTGAAACTAAGTTGAATTTTCGCAACAATTCAACGAATTTATTTTCTGTACGTTATTATAATCACTACTGAGTAATAATCAGCAATTGTAACACTTCGAAAAAAAGTAAGTTATTCACTTGTGTGAAATGCAGCATGACCATTACCATGATCATTTGCTACTAAGAATGCATTCGTTTTTGTTTTTACTTCTTTTAGAATATACTTTTCGTTATAAAAAAAAAATAAGAAAATAAATATCTATTACATTAAATAATATACAAAGTATTTTTTGTTATCGTGCGAACATTTTTTTTTTGATTGACTTTTTTTATTTTTTATTTTAATTTCCCTGATGTCTAGTAAATTAAATATGGAATGTACAGTCACTCTGCCGATAGTCGAAAATGCCAGTAGTCGAATGCAATAGACTGTGTCAGATGGCTGTCTCTCAGTTGTAACCTATACCGATGCTAACGAATTAGTCTATTCAAGAGATTGTAGTATACAGTATCGTAATCTTAAAATGCATACAAATCTATTTGTAGATATTATTTATTGTGCAGTATGTTATACAGTGTGAAATTTTGTTTGTGTACAAGTTTGTCTGTGTGTAAAAATCCGAAAGGGCTTAGAATCGCAACAAAATTGCAATCAAGTGTTGTGCATCTCATTAGCATATCATTATCCCTTCTGGCCTTTGTTTTTTGAAAAAATTTCCCACTGTTACCGAAGTGAATGCTCTATTTAAAGCCGCACCAAGACTTCACGCATCTGAATTCGTCCATTGAAAAAATTTATTTTTATAATTAAAGCCGCGGCCTCAATTAGGAATTTTACGGTATGTTGTTATTATACAATGTTTCATATTGAAAAGATTAAAAACTTTTTGTTGTTTGTTTTTAAGTCTGAGAATAGGAAACTAAGCTCTGAATTGCAATCTTCAGTAGACCAAACAACCCACATGTGTGAAAAGGCTATCATGGTAAGTTGTACAATTAAACGTCTGCTGATAATATGTAAACTTAAACCTTCATTGTCATCAGTGTGCCCTTGAAATGCAGTCGAAATGACAAGCCACTCGTGCAAACAATTCAGTTTTACAATAATGCTGGTGCATCATTGACATAACATGAAGATCTACATTGATATAGTGATATTGAAAACGTGTTGCTATAATTATGGAATTTATAATCAATTCATTTATTGAAATAAAATTCACATATCGTTAGCAAAAATCAGGGCCCCAATTTGTGCCTCAAGTCACTTATATAGTTGCATATAATTTAATACAGACCTTCCCAGCAGTCAATAAGCTGTCTCAATTTGATATTGGGGTTTTCCATTTTGACTCAAGAACCCTAAATCTGTTCCTTTAGAGAGCACAGATGATTTTTATACCTGTATATTTATAGTAGTAGTTATGATTTTGTATGGTATGTCTGTTATATCAGTGTATGTCAAGACAAATTGGTATTGACTTTTTATTTCCAGGCTGAAATGTCAAGAGACAAATTAAAACAGAGATTGGATGAGATCAAAGAGCATGTAGCACCGAATCTAGAAGTATTGAATTCATTAGGAAATGAGACTGAAAACGAAAACATACTGGAGAAACTGAAAGCTGTGAAAGAGATACAGAAAATGATATTAGAACTTGATGTAAGCCATGACTCAACAGACTAGTAACCAGGACACTGTATATTAAAACTTGGTTTATAGTATCGGAGTACCTTTTGTTTTGTTTCATCTGATCTTTGAATTTTTTGAGCTTGCCAGTGTTATTCATTCTATATACGTGTTGGACTGCTAGTATCTTTAATTCATACTTGACTGTTTGTCAACTTCTGTAATTCACTGCAAGCTTACTTGGATTGCTATTAGTTTCTCAACATTGTAGATAAATTAATGGCTTTTTGTTCTTAATATGTGAAAATGGAGTTGGTCAGTCTTTGTATTTTTACTATTATAGGAGGAAGAGAGTGAAGTATGTAATGATGATTTAATGCTGCCAGCTGAAGGCATGGAAGATGATGAAAATGCGACACCATTGGATAAGGAACTTTTGTTGCGTCGTGCAGAAATGGGTCGCCAGTTACAAGAATTGAATAATGCACTTGCCATGAAACAAGAACTTGCTAGTGCTATGGGTGAAAGTGATGAAAAAATGTCCAGCATGAAAGTACAGTATGAGGTAAGTTGAAGATTACATAATCCACTATTCAGTCGAGGACTGGAAAACATTAAACGCAAAACTGTAATGAGCATCTCCTCAGATGCTTGTAGACTAACTTGTAAGGATTTTGAGTGAAGGTGAAATATACACAATCATATTTATGAACCTATGGGCAGTGTAATTAATGCTGAAATTGTTTTGTAAAACATGTTCTATTAGGCCAAACTTTTTTTATTCCTTGTTTCTCGAGTTTTTATAAAGCAATTTTTTTGAGGATTCTCAAAGAATTGTAAGTGAGATCATTGATCGGAGAGAAAAAATGAAATAAAATTTTATTCCATGTATAACCTTGTTTCTCATCTGCGCAAGACTTTGATCATGATACTCCCACGAAAATGCAACTTGAATTTGGTATGAGGCGGGCGGTAAAAATATGAAGATAAAAATAATATTTTTTTAGCAATTTTTTGCGCTTACAAGTTGGCGGGCGCGAGAAGTTATGCTGAAATAAAATGTTATTTTTATTTCTCTTTCGGCTCATGTTTATTTGGCAGGTTCGCGAAATAAGGGATAATAAAAGTCCGGCCTTAGGAGAAAACAAAAAGAATCTCTCTGAATATCAACTCACCTGTCACTCTGGATTATTCAAATTCCAATCTTGTTTTCCATACATAATTATCATCGTTTATAATCCACCAAATTGACGATGGTAGTTGTGTTGTATTCAGGAATGGTGTTGCAGCACTACGTTCCTGAGATGCCTTGACAGATTGCAATAAAAATTTAAACTTTACAACTATTATAATTCATGTGACACATTATCATGCATTTGTTTCAAATTATGACCCATAGTGGCCGTATTATTTTCAGTTTTGTTTACTAGTGCGTGACATGAATAATTTTATTTTTCCCGGAAATAATTTTTCATTTTCCTAAAAGTGTGTGGGGGGGGGGGGGGGGGAAATGTATAATGTTATATAATATAGGTATCTCTGTTGATTTCAAGCCTGCTGTTGTACACATCACTTACAGACAGACCATCAGTATTAAAAGAATGTTGACGTATTGCTAACATCCAAGTCTGTTTCTTTGTAGGAAACTATGAAACAACTTGAAAGTGAGATTACATCACTACAGCAAGAGAAAGATGAACTTGCCAAGGCCTTGCATGAAGTGAAAAATAACACTGTTGTTAGCAAGTATGTATATTATGTCAATAAACATTGTATTATTATACATGTTGCCATAAGTTATAATGTGCCATAATGTTGCATTATTGCACGCGATATCTGCATCCTACCGTAGTAAGAAATGCAATTATAAACACAGAATGATATTTTCAATATGACTGAGATGTTTGAAAACTAAATTCAATAGCGAAAGTGCCACAAGTTTCTACCATTTTGCTTGGTTTATGGATTTCTACAAAGATGTACATTTTGAGGATACTGCTAAGTATGCACTCAGACAGTACACTGTCGCATTGGTTGGGTGTTTGTTGATACTCTCGTTGTACTGTCTTTGTGCATATTTTGCTCTTAAGGTAGAAGCCTAGTCATAATTTTTGACAAAATTGGTAATAAATCGCATGACAATGTTTATTAGTTTATTATGTATAATCATGAAGTTAATGTCTCATGGTACGATGAAATAGCATTATTTTGTGTGTTACAGTTTTGCTTTTTGAGAAACGTGTCCTAATATTTCTTGAAAATTGCTATTTTTAGAACAATTCCATAGAACACAATGTTAAAGAAAAATTGCATTTTTTTTACACTTTTTATATTGCCTTGGTTACCATTTTTTGCAAAATGAATAAATTCTGGGTTTTTTAATTTGTGAGTATATAACTACTGTATCTGCAGTATGCTCCTTACTAAACAAACGAATTGGTACTATGCTTAGACAGAAGAAATTGGTGTCCTCTTTACATGCCGACATCATGTATGTTAATCACTTATAGATGGTTAAACAAGACACAATACAAGTAAATTATAAAAGTTTTGTTATGCATATGTATTTATATTCAGAACAGTTTTGAAGAATTTATAAATATACATTGTCATTTCAAACCCAAATCATCTTTATACCTATGTGTGGGCAAATATTCATATGTATATTTTTTTCAGGATAAGTGAACAGAGAAGGCGGAGACTACAGGAGCTAGAAGGTGAAATGAGCAAACTGAAGAAGAAATTAGCGGAGCACAGCAAACTGATAAAATTTAAAGAGCAGGGTGATCAGAAAATTAAGAAATTAAATTCTGAAATTCAGGTAAGTTTTTACTTTGGTTTTATGTATACAAGATTTAAAGTATTGAAACGTAATACTACTCGGTATGTCTGTTTACAAGTCTTCTTAACTACATTCATGCGGTAATGGTTATAGATGGATTGAAAGTGTCTGACAACAAAACAACTTTTTGTGTATGGAAAATGAGGGTGTGCATCAAATTGGTGCACCAAAAAATATGTTTATTTTACCATTATTAACATTTAATGATATAAAAAATATGAATGCCACATGCATGCAAATGAACATTACATGTAGAGCAGAGCAGAGTGTAGAGCAGAGTGTAGAGCAGAGTGTAGAGCAGAGCAATAAATAAATCAATCAATCAACTATATCAGTGTTGGCCAGTGGATTTGTCGCGTCCAAATTGATAATGCTAGGATTTTACTATCATTTTAAAAAATACTTTTGATTTCCTATATCTCACAATTTTTTTGGGATGGGGGATCAAAATTTCAACGCATGGGAGATTGTAAACAATACTCACACTGGAAGATGTCTGATTACAATTTGATGTCAAGTATTCAGACTGACTGTAGGTTTTGGGTCAGTCGGTGTTCAGAGTATCCATTTAATGTAGGTGATGAAGCAAACCAGGGTGAAGCTGATGAAACAGATGAAGCAGGATACAACCAAATTCCAACAATTCAAGACACAAAAAGATAGAGAAGTAATGAAGCTGAAACAACAGGTTTGTAAATATCATGTTTATTTCATATTCTAAATATTTCTGGTAAAAATAGAACTGATTATATTTTGAATAATAAGTAAATAATAATAAATAATAAAAGATTATAATTTGAATGTCAAACCAAGACCATAATACTGGCTATTATAGTAAAGCATTTGTTTTAGGTTGTTCATAAACCAAAATTAATTAATATTAATTAATCTGTAACAGCAAAAATAATTTTGTGTGTGAATTGTGAAAGCATACAAATGTAATGCTCTTTTAGACTTTCAATCAATCCTTGTAGCCTATTGATATTTACATTCATTTGATTGATGCTGCAACTACAATGTTAAAATGAACTGTTATAAATACCATCTTTTTTTTTCTACAGGATCGTAAACGTCAACACGAAGTCGTCAAACTTGAACGACAGAATCAACTTCAACAGAATATGCTGAGACGAAAAGCTGAGGAGGTGAGCATTAAAATTAATTGATGTGCTGTACTGGTAAAACACCGCTACATTGTATAATGATGTGCAGTACTGACCAATAACCATAAACAAATAAATGTGTATCCATTCTGTTCAGAATACAGAAAAATATATACAAATGTATAAAATATAAAAAGGATTTAATTTAATTCAACTTCTGTTAGAAAATACAACTACCATGTATATAAAATGTTAGCATGTAGTTAGTGATTACTCAATATAATACATTGCATGTCTAAGTCGTACGGAGAAAAGTGATAAGGATAAGTTTTCAAGAGACCTCTGACATGATAGATGAAGAGATGGTCAACTCAGATTTGTTTTCTTGCTTATTTCTTGACTTCTTATTTCAGGCATCGGCAGCAAACAAAAGACTAAAAGAGGCCTTACATAAACGTAAGATTGCTACTGATAAAAAAGAGGAATCCTTCGCCCAGAGTGACATGAAAGGAACCGGACAGAGAGTCAGGGTTAGTATATTGCTTCATATATTGGCCTACAATAGTTTGTAATGAACATGTCATTTTGGTTTTCTTCTTCTGTTTATAGATCAAAGTATGAATTTTACATCTGATTTGTTACTTATTAATATTGAATTCAGGTTTAGTCTTTGGTCTACATTCTCATCTACCGTAATTGTATTGTTATGCTTGTGTATACAATATATATAATTCAGGATGAGAAAACATGCATGCAGTTAACTTTAAGGCCACTTGTCTCACAGCAACTTTAAGAATCTTTATTTTGTTGTAGAATTGGCTCAGTAGAGAATTAGAAGTACTTGTGTGTATGGGAGAATCACGGCGGCATTTAGAGGAGTTACTCGCAGATAGGAAGACATTATCACAACAACTCAGTGAATTAGAACAATCAACAGATGAACCAGCAGCCAAGGTATAAAATCAACTATAAATGATACTTGTATTTCAGTAAAACTCCTAGATCTAGATTCCAACAAAATTATGTGCATGTGCCCCCCCCCTCTCCTTTTCCCAATGTCTGTGTTGATAATGTTATGCATTAGAAATGCTTTTATTTCAGTCATTTTCAGTGGTTTTTAAATTGATTTTTGTTTACCTACTTGTCTTATTATTACAGAAAAGGGCTTCTATGAATGACACGTTTGTGTGTGATGATAGTCTCTCATCTTCTGATTGTGGAGACGAAGAGAAGAAACAAAAAATATTTGCTTTGAAGCATGAACTGCAACTAAGGTTTGTTTTTACTGCTGATTTTTTTTTTTCATTCACACATTGAGTTAAAACCTATTTTAAAGTACTATTCTAGATATTAATACTGCATTAATGATTTTAGGAGGGTTGATGACACTGATGTCAATATGCAGGATGTCGTTTTTTTAATTACTTTTGTATTTGGCTGATACACAAAGTTTTATCCTTTGAAATCAGACATGCATGTTGGTGGATCCACAAATCAGCAGAAATGTAGTAATTTCACTCCATAGTAGTAATCAGGACAAAATTCCCTAAAAATCTAATTCATATCTATACTATATTCATAAAGGCACATAATCAAAGCCATGATGTGGAAAGCATAATTCTGCCTGTAATTGTGTAATGATTAATTATTCATCAAGTTATTTGCATAAATAAACTAGAATGGCAACAGGCATATTTATATCTGTCTTAAAATAATTTGACAAGGCCTTTGCTTCAGCAGTAAATTTCATCTATAATTAAGTAACTCTGTTTGGTAAAGTGCTTTTCTGTGTATGTTATTCATATGCTTAATAATGTTTAACAATTAATCTTGTTCTGTACGTTGATGGAACACTAAATGCAACTCACTTTAAATGTTGTTAATTCTTGTGTCATTTTAGAAGTGCCCAGATTGCTGATTTACAAGAAAAACTTATGGATGCTGATCAAGGTAATATTGTTTATCCCATGTATTATGCCTGTTGCATGTGATACAACCCATAAGATATTTTTGAAATTTTACCCTCAATATCCAATGGGTATTGTGATCTGTTTGATCAATGCACTCAATTCGAAATTGTTTGCAATACTACTTGTTGGAAAGTGGTAAATTATATATGTTTCTGCTACATACCATTTGTACTTTCATATATTCCTAGTGTTCATTTTTGTATAACCTGTGAGTTGCATACATGTATATAGACTTTGGCATTTTCAATTCTCCCAACCTCAACTTGACATCACACAAAATAAGTTCCCCGATGTACCAATCACCGAATTGTTATAAAATATGTAAAAATACATTGAATAGAATTACTTATAAAGTTAGTAAAATGTTACCAATGTGTCCCTAAAACTGTAAATACATTGATTACCCCCATAATCAGCAAAATTGTTTAGTCGTGGCTATAAATTTGGTAAACTCCATTCAAGGAACAGTGTTGCAATATTCAAATGAATACAGAACGCACTAAAGAATCCTCTAACACACTCACAAAATGTATGACGTTAAAAAGCTGCAAAAAAGATACATAGGCTAAATATGATCTCAAATTCGTGATTGTGTGATATCGGATTTATAACTATCATTTCAGTCATTCTTTGAACGATTATGTTTAACTAAATATTGCTACACTACAGCAAGTTATTATCAACATTTGCGACGCACCCAGACTTCAAATCACCGCTCCACTGTCCAATCACGCAGTCAGTGTCACATTCACAGTCATCATGTTGCGGACAGGGGGTTGAACTTTTGTTTCAACCACTCTATAGTCATCAATTCAATGTATGTGAACTTTGTTTTTGTTATTTAAAGATATACCTGAAAGATAACTAGGAGTACACATGCAATTTCACTGAACTAGCCATTGCAGATGCTCTCACTCGGATTGGACCATGCGTATGTCAGCGGTTTGCTTTCGACTGTGGCTATATCTAATTTGTGGATATAATTTTTAACCTTTGCCTTGTCTCTGAGACATAAAACCAAACGGCCCTTTTCAGGGCCACCACATCCTTCGACAGAGAATACCATAGTGTATGTGTCTGAATACATGTATGTCTATACACTGGAAATGTGTGCATGTAGGTGTAGTATCAATTATAATATCAATTTGAACGCGAAGTGCGTTCATTCGCCGTAAAAATGGTGTCTCTCTCGCTAGTGAGGCGGTCGATAAAACTGTTGTAATCCAAGTTATCACTATGAAACTTGTGATATATATATTGGTATAATTCTTGTATCCCGATAATAAACAAATTCTACTTTGAATAAATATTCCGCCATGACTGTCAGTCCGAGTTGAAATGCGTTGTGGGTCCAAAGACGGCGACTAGAAGTCTGGGTGCGTCGAGAATGTATCAAAACAAACTTGATTGTAGCAAAACAACTTCAACAACATTGGAAGCAATTGCTGTACATTTACCGACAATGTTGATAATAGCTTGCTGTAGTGCAGCAATATTTAGTTAAACATAATCGTTCAAAGAATGAATGAAACGATAGTAAACTCTTGTCGTAATTTTCATATATTCCTCACCAAATGTTTAGAACATATGAAAATTACTACACTCTTAGTAGATCTTCTACATATTATATTTTTATAAGTTGAACATTAATTATTCAAAGTTGTTTGTTTGGGTAGCCAATGCTTTCATCAGCAATCTGTGTACAGTACATTGTAAGGTTGCAATGAGACATGGTCACCCAATGTAGACTGGTATTTTGAAGTGTGTAAGTTATTCACTATCTAGTCAAATGTGTTTCTACAAATTATTTGACATTACAGAGGAGAAGAGTAAGCATCGATGGTCTAATATACGCTCCATAGTAGAAGCCAAATGTGGATTGAAGTGGCTTTTAAATACTGTAAGTACTATTGGCAGAAAAAGTTGCCCTGTATATCATGGCCTTAAAATCCAGTGAATATTCTCAAAATAGTGATTAATAAAATGTCAGTGAAAATAAATGGTTTTACAGTATTGGTGGTCTGTTTAGCCATCTGTCACATGGAGATAACATACAAAATTTTCAGATAGGTGCATCAGAGCAAATAAACACCAAAACTGTAAATGTATAATATTGTAATCACTCTTAGAAGCCAAATAATGGCTTGTCCACATGAAAACATAGTTGTTCACTATAGCCTATGAACTAAAAAAAACTTCTATTGATTTTTGGCATATGGCTTTTCAATCAATTGCACAAAAATTGTTATGACTAAGTTAGGTACCTTGATAATGCTACATTGAACTGTCAGTGTGATTTTCATGGTTGTCCAAGCAACCAGTTTTTAAATTTTGTTGCCCCCATGACAAAAGCGGTTGTCTTGGACAAATGCCAGTGTGAACTGCAGAAGTGTGTCTAATGTAGAAATGAACAAAATACCAAATATGCATTTATTGTGTGCTTGATGAATAAAAATATCACTTACTACTATAGCCATGTAGTTTAACACAAGTGTACATGTGCTACAGTTAAACCCATGAGTAGTTTTTACAATGAATGACATGCATAACAACAAATCGGCTTATTTTCAGCTGGTGGAGTCAAAAGTACAAAACACTTTCACGGAGGCAGAGTTAACTGACAGTAAGGTCGCACAGAACGAGTGTCGAAAGGAAGTAGAAGAAATGAAGGACGATATGGAGAATATAAGACTACAACACCAGCAAGAAATAACAGAGCTTCAAAAAATGAATGAAGACAAGGTAATGCTGCAGTCTATGCTTTTCTTAAAGTTAACTGCATGCACGTTTTCTCATCCCGTTAATGAGTTGAAAATAAATAAATAAATAAATGTAACAGTACATTAAAGAATGTTTCTATTTAGTACATGTTATCCATCTGTTGTTAATATGACGAACATTTCACTTTGACAGTTTTTTTATGTCATACCTGTGGCAATTATCAGTCTGATGCTACACAATACATTATCTTAAAGCGAGAGAGTCGTCACCTACGCATGCGTCAGATGGCCATAGCGTGTCATTGTTTACAAACAAGCGTCTACCCATGAGCCTTTGCATTTTTAGTGTGTGTTGTTATAGTCGCTTGAGACTCGATTCCCGTGTGTGCGCAGGTGACAGACAACCCTCCCGCTTTAATAAACTTGAACCCACTTGAGAACCTTCTTTCATTTCTTGTTATTCAAAAGAGCTACCCCAGAACATGTGTGTGACTGATGTTGCTTATATACAGACTCCATTAAACCTCCCCCCAAATCCTAAGTGTTTCAATTTGGTCTTTGTGATTTCCTTGACTTTCTTTCTCAGTCAATGTTCACAAATGTCATTTAAAGCGGAGGGGTCATCACTGGTGCAAAGGCTCATGAGTAGACGCTTGTTTGAAAACATCGCCACACTATGCTCGTCTACCGCATGTGCAGGTGGCAAAATCCCCTCTTTAATTCGAATACAGTATGGAAGACTATTTCATCGACTGTGAAAAGCAAACACTAGTAACCAACGTATTCTTTGGTCCCTAAAACTGTGAACCTACTTTATAAGTTTATTTTCTAAGGTCTATGATTGAACAGACTTGCTGCAACCACTTTTAAAGAAATTTGAATTGAGAAATTCCTAATTATGATGCTGTGATTTGTACCTTAGGTTTTGTATTTGTTGAAAGAACTGAATCAGGATGCTAATACTTTGCAAGATACCGACGATTCAGAAGTGAGAAGTTTGAAAGAAAGACTACAGTTCCAGGTATATACACTCTATACATTCACATTGTATGAAAAAAAAAGCATTATACCAGTATGTATATCTGTTCTACAAGACCTATATTGAACACAAGTTATGTGTTAGGTAATTGTTGATGTTTGACGCCAAAGTTTACCAAATCAGTGTGTGGGAATGGCCCTCCCCATGTTGCCAATAATTCTACTATATTCCTAAAATCATAGTCTCCTTTTTGCTCTATGCTGGTATAGAACATTACTTAAAACCACAATACGAGACCATGTTGTTTAGAATTACATGTGTAATTTATTTTCTGCATATAGTATAACGGTATCACTTGTACCACCAGGTCGTTGTAAGTTTATGATTATTCATAAAATTAGGTGCTCAGTGCAGCAATATAAAGAGTAAATCCAGTGTGAACCTTCCCCAACCCAGGATTTTTTATTCATGTATAATGCCTCCATGAGCTAGACAATTTACATATAGACTCTACTGTTTCTGTACTTACTCTACTAATTGCACATGTGTTTATATAAATTAGAGGCGTTTCTATTGTCAAAATCATTAATATTTTACTGATTCAGTAAAGAACAAATTCATTTTCTGGTGTATATATGTGCTTTTCATAAAGCAAATAATGGGTATAATTGAATATCTCGTGTATTGTCTGAATTGAGAAGCACTGTCTTTAAATGTATTTTAGCATTGATTATATAATACTTTACTTCAACCATTGTTCTTTCAGGAGTCTCAGATAGCTGAATTAAATGCTATTCATGAAAAATTTCAACAAGTGTCTGCTGAAAATGAACTTCTTAAAAAGGTAATCTTAAAATATTATCAATTATTTAATTATCCAACCATTGCAATGACTCCAATTGATCTATAATTCAAAGCAGACTCATTACAGCCAATCAAAATTTATACCGTACATAGCCAGTACACTGAAAGCAGAACATTAATGCGTAACAGGATTTTAGGTTGTTCTGATGAAAACTTGTATTCTGATTATCAAAATCAGTCGCAATCTTACATTTGCAGACACAACTCATGAATGCCGAACTACTAAATTTTGTTCATGAATCATAATGTTCATTTCTTAGCATCATTGTCAAAAAAAGCCACAAAGTTAAATTTTTCGAGATAAAATCTGCTTGGAAGAGTTGTGCTTAACATTGCATTGTCTTTCAATTTAATAGCAATTGGCAGTGGCCAAGTACCAAAAAGACAGGAAGCTATCGTTTTTGCCAGAGTTAACTGACCAATCTAGCGTATCTGACATGAAAACAGTAAAGGTATTTTTTTTTAGACATGAAAATTACAGGTGGCCAACTAAGCTCTTATTTGCATACGTCTCAGTTAAAATTTGAACACTACCAAAAGCTAATTGTTTTTTTTTGCATATTGAAGAAATATTAAAATTAAGTTGTCAGTAGGACAATTAATCAACAACATTTTCTGGTTTGATTTTCATTTGATGTAGTATTTGTGAAATTACATTGCCTAGTGTACAGGTGACAGTATTCTGGGAGGTTTTCGTTGTGTAATAGTTGCCACAAAGTTAAAGGCCACATAGCTTCCACGTTGTATATTGACACTAGAAAGTCGACTGTTTCTGTATACTGAATGTGTAGCTTCTATGGTTTTGATAATTAATTTCAAGTGAAATAAAGCTTCAATGCAAGTCAGCAGTTAATTATACTTAGGAAGTGATGTTTAGTGTTTTAGGATAGCAGAGATATGGTAGAGTGTGAATAAATGCTTGCTCACTGTAAACTTGTGCTGAGGTAGGTGAACTTATGGCCAGGAAACGTGTTTCAATCATAGAGGATTTATGCATATAATTTCTCCTCTAAGTAGAGATCACCAAATACATGCATCAGAGTGTAACAAGTGTATTTTGGTATCTATTTTAAATACTGTACAATGTTTCACATACTGTTCAAGTTATAGTAGAGATTTGATTGAAATGTATGAGATTTGATGCCTTTATTATCTTATCTATTAATGTTTTACTTTTATTTAGTTAGTTTTATCATTTTAGTCTTTTGTTATTTGTTATTTTTTACCATACTAAACCCCCTGATTGATTTTGGTTGTGTAATAAAGTTATTGTTAGTATCTTATTATTTTATATCCATAATAACAGTGTTTGTTCATTTTTACTGTAATAAAAAAAAAAAATTCCTATCGCTACACATTTTAATGCATCTAACAATCGTATTGTAAAAAAAAATAGATAAGATAAGATTAAATGATTTAACTTTTATTCACTAAAGGTCAGAGTTGAACAACCATTATAATTCAGTAAAAAAAAAAAAACTCTAGGCATTGGCGAGGGTACAATTTGCCTTTCTAAAATGCAATGCTTTGTGTTTTCAAATTAGAACGGATCAATAGAGTATGCAAATGAGGGCTTAGCTGGCTGTCTGTATTGGTTACTGTTATATAACAGCAAACGCATATAAACTATTAACCTTAAAAAGCAGGGATATGTTTCATTCGATGAGGTGTTCAGTTAAACCAAACATAGTTTGTGGAGTGTTCATCCGTAATAGACCATTTTCCGTACTCTGAGAGAATCACGCGTTATGCGTGAAATCGAACGTAAAAACAAAGGTCATAGCGTCGTAGTGGCGTCAAACATCGCGTGGGATTCGATAACGCGAAAATATTTTGGGGGCATTTCCATGCTTAATAATGTGCTGTATACATTTGATGATAGACAATTTTGATTAAGTGAGGGTATTCGAAAGCAATATTCCTCTGTCGAAGATCGGCCTGTCGATGTGAGCTACGAAATAAAGAAATTCGAGTTGAAAATCAAATCGTTTGATTTTTGCGGCAGACGTTCGACGTGCGTCTTTCATGCATCTCGCAGTTGAACGGAAAATCACCTATTTTTCTTTCATAGAACCCCACTAAAATAAAGAAAAAGAAGGCTGAGGTGCTTGATGATATATTTGAATCAGAAGATGAATCTTGGGAGAGTGATGAAGACGACAGCGAGTATACTTACGAAAGTGATTCCTCATGGTGCGAGACTCCTATCAAACCAAAACAAAGGAGAAGAACAAAGATCATAGATCAGAATAAGAAACAATCACTTCTTAAAGTACCTGTAAGTAGGAGATTTCCAGTTGACATAAAGTTGATCCTACAAATTGTCTTAAATAATTCATAGTTTATCCTGATTCTAAACTTGTATGCCTGGAATAATTTTTTTTGACTCTCGTGTGCGAAGCACAACAAGGGAGTCTTTGCAGTTAGTGTGTCTGTCTGTGTGTGTGTCTGTTCCACTGCTATCTCAAGAACCATACATCGGTTTTTGATGAAACTTGGTGCATAGATGCTCTGGGCCAATGCGCAGATTTGATTAGGTTTTGGTAAAAATCCATGCATATTAATTACCTAATTTGCATGATAATTAGCTGATTTTTAGCTGTTCCATGACTGTTCCACTGATATCTAAAGAACCACTCATTGGATTTTGATGAAACTTGGCACATAGATGCTCTGAACTAATGTGCAGATTTGATTAGTTTGGGGTAAAAATGTGTGCAATATTAATTACCTAATTTGCATAATGATTAATCAATTTTTGGCTTTTCCACTGATATCTCAAGTACTAATCATCACATTTCAATATAACTTGGTACATAGATATCATAGAACACTGCACAGACCTGATAGTTTTTAGGGTAATATCAGTACATATTAATTACCTAATTTGCATAATTAATAAATTTTCAGCTTTCAATATTTCAAGTAGTAATCATTACATTTCAGTGAAGCTTGGTACATAGATGTCATAGGACACTGCACAGACCTGATAGTTTTTAGGGTAATACCAGTACATATTAATTACCTAATTTGCATAATTAATTAATTTTCAGCTTTTGATATTTCAAGTAGTAATCATCACATTTCAATGAAACAATATACATAGTTACTTAAGGATTGTGCAGAGACCTGATTAGTTTTGGGGTAAATATTTGTGCATATTAATTACCTAATTTGCATAATTAGTTATTTTTTTCCATGAATGTTCCACTGGATTTTAATGAAACTTTTAAAGAGTATTCATCATCACATTTCAATGAACCTAGGACTAAGCAGAGACCCAATTAGTTTTTGGTAATCACCTAATTAAAATAATTAATTAACACTGATATCTCAATTACTGATCATCACATTTGAATAAAATTTGGTACATAAATGCTTTAGGACAATAGACTGATTAATTTTGGGTTAAAATTGTTCATATTAATTCTCTAATAATAATTCATAGTTTTTTTGTTCTAATCACATTTCAATGAAACTTGGTACATAGATTACGCAGGCCTTATTAGTTTTACACTCAAATCTGTTCATATCTGTTACCTGATTTACATAATTAGTTTTCAGCTATTCCATCAATAATTAATAAGTAATTTTTAATTAACTTTTAATGTGTCTTCAATACTCTCAGCACACGGGAGTTCTTTCTAAGCTTTCTTTGATTTTAATTGCAGACTGGATGTTCTTGCAAAGGCAATTGTCGAGGACGATGTGGATGCACAAAATCGGGACGCGAATGTGATGACACATGTCGATGCGATGACACAAAATGTCTGAATAAAGATGGCAGGAGAAACTCTGGCGGTGATAACAGTGATAACGATTTGTCTATGCAGGTACAGTACCTTTATTTCTAAACTTACTTAGTTCACTCATGGAAATTGAGGTTGAGTTTTGGCTACTGGTAACCCAGGGTATTTGATGTGTCTCGTCAATTACGCACATAATTCCTTCTTTACAGGAAAATAGTTCCAAAAGAGGTATGGAAATTGCGTTCTTTTATCATCATGTGACAAAAGTTTGATAATGTAAATCTGACCCTTCTCATTAGTGTATGAAAAAGCAAAACAAAGAAAATGCATATCTCTCAATCAAATCAAATAGGGTACATGTTGTGATAAAAAGGTGTCTTCTCCCTATTGTCGTTCTATTCAATATAAGAAAATACTCTCGGGTTTATTGTCCTAAAGAACCAGTCACTGTTTAATTGTAAGTTAGAATTTGCCATTACATTGTCATTCTGCAACTCTGCAGTGTCCCAAAAACACAATCTCAACATTTATACGTGACATCAACTGTTTCTCGGACATGCCTGAGCTAATTTTATTTAAACTTAGTATGAACATCACACATGAGTCACTGATGTATGACGGTAATTTGATACAAAATGGCAGAGAGGTGGCTACGTTTGTTACTCATTTTGTTGGCCTGACTGGCCCCATTTGTTGGCCCCATTGATTTTTAGGCAATTGAGTGAGACAAATAAATGTTTTCATGTATTGTGATCTTTTGTTTAATTTCAGTCTATGAGCCAGTCACAGTTGTCTTCCACCTCTTCTATTTGTTTAAATTCCACCTTTCTGGCAAGTCCAGACAATCCCAATGAAAACAAACCAGAATCTCCCAGAAAAGCATTAAAAGATGTAAATACAGGATTATCTGCCGATCCAAAGAATATAAAGGAGTCTGGTGATGGAGCATTGAAAAAAGAATCATTCAAGAAACCTGGAATATTTGTGAAAAGACCAAAACCAGACGATGAAAGTGCAATTAATTCCCAAGGAGTGATTAGTAAGAAAAAGCGAAAACTGCTAAGTACATCAAACAAATCTTACTTCAAACCACCTCAGGTGTAAAATTTACAGATTTGCTATACCTGTGTATACACCATTCATGATATTGCAGAATCAGTTCCTCTGAAGCACAGCAATTTTGTAGAGATTCAGAGTCGAAATGAAGCCTCCCAAAATCAAGCTGAGTCAGTTTGACTGCTGGGAAGAAAAAGAAGGGTCTTCAAGGAGAAAAAAAATTGTGACTTGTGTAGGTGACTTGAAGCACAAACAAAATTCTTGTGACCCTGATTTTTTACACTTATTTTGGTTACCAAATTACAAATGTTCTTCAAGATCATTATATCAATGTATAATTTTATGTTGTATCAATGACACACCATGCAAATCTGCCTAGAGTTCACACTACAATGCATTATATGCAATACCAGTATGTGAAAATCTGTGGATGACAATGAGCAGCAAATTTGTAATATGTATATTGTTGATGAATACAGCAGTGTATCATTGGTTCATTATATAGTCTGTAGAGAAAAAGTTCCAATTCTTTGGATCAAAAACATATTAATATTTGAAGTGCCTTGCATGTTTTTATCCAGCTTGATGTTAATATTAAAAAGGTTTACAGAACTACATTGTGGATGTAGACAAATGCAGTGAACAGGTCAAAATGAAAGGGTTCACTTGATAATACATTCCTATTTATATTCAAATTTCTTTTATACAACTATAGCATTTATATTGTGGCAAAACAATTTGTGCACCTATCCAGATATCAACAAGTTTGTATAGTTATTTAGTGTGAAGACTAGTCTGAATTGTACACTTTTATGTAGCTGGTTATTGTTGCAGCTCTCAAGTTGTTTTCAACAGCATAAGCTTTATAATGGCCATTGTTGTTAGTATCTTAGCATCTTAGTATTTGTCAGTGTTTAATCTTCTGGCAGGATGGACTAAAATTTGAATATTATAACAAAGTGTATACAACAAGAAATGTAAATAATATGGTACTAACAAGTATTTTAAAAGCAAATTTTCTGCCCCCCTCCCTCTTGCGCAGGTGATATTTTTATTTGAATAAATAAATGTTCTTATGATTAAAACATTGCTACAACAAACCTAAGTAGAACAAAATGCTACAAGTCTCTGCCAAAAGCTAGTCAGTTTTGTAAATGTATTCTTATCTTTTAGTTAGATATTTTCCCATGTAAATAAAGAAAAATAATACATATTGATTTGAGTAGAATTCAGTTTTATTATTATTGTCTATGGTGTCACTACTGACCAGTCAGCACACAAATGTTTCTGTAAAAAAACACACACTATAATGCAGTATAGCCTTGAAATAGCTGAGTGGCAAAATTAAACTGACGCCAAGAATGGTGTGACTGAGAGCTGTCATTCGATCTTGTCAAACTGACCTGGATGTATCAACAAGTGCATACACCAGCCTCTCTATACCCTACCCTTTCTTCAGGTTATGTTGAGCTTGTCATAGCACCAATAACTACAAGTACAGAAACAAATGGTAAAAAAAATCTAAACTTTTATACATTGTATAAAGCACCAGCTCTTAGAGAAAAACAAAATATTACAAAAACAAACTTACATTTACAAGTTCTCATCTAAATCTACTCAATGCTGTACATGTATATTGTGTGATCTAGATCTAGAAAAAAACCTGAACATCTGTTCTACAAATGTACATTTATGTAAAACTTCTAACAAGAAGTGACTACATAGTGGAAAATCATAATACTAGTAACTGGAAATATCCTTAATTTAAACATAGACCTTAAGGTCTATGATTTAAATCTTGAAATATTATTTGGTTATGCTGATAAATATTCAAACCTGTTTAATTTCAATGGTTTATTAGGCAAAAGTCTGGTATATGAATGGCGTATAGTCATTTTCTGGTTTTTATTTGTAAAATTCAGAGTACCTTCTAGAAAGAACATATTTTTGCTATGACAAGAAAAGGGAAAAAATACAACAAATTTATCCTGCAACCCAATTATGGATCAACTTTTTGGATATTACATGTATTACATACATCTGTCACAGCATGCCGTAATTTTACGGGGTTTTTTCCTCCTACCATATTAGGAAATGTGAATTTCAAATATGGAACGATTACGCTCATAAGCGTCCTCTAATAATAAAAACAAACATGGCTGCCACGAGGGTTTGACCGGACTCCACACAAAGAAGTTTGCCGAATCGGTTCTAAACTTTTTGGATTTCGGCATTCTCATGGAAGGAAAAGATGTATAATAATAAGGTTATTACGAGGATACCTCAAAGTATACCATTGCATCGATCTCCACTGCGCATTGGTCGATACTACTACTGTACTGTCTTCGTGCACACTTTGAAGTATCCTCATAATAACTCATACTATTACATAGCCCTTTGAGTTTTTGACATGATACAAATCATTTCCATAGAAATCCATGCATTATTTCATGGAAAATAAATAATATTTCCCAGAATCCCATAATTATGGCAATCAATTACCTATCATATAAAAACATTTATTTTTTCACTATATGACACCAAGCAATATTTTCAGATATGACAATATTTTTCCCCCTTAGAAACCAATGGTAAATGGATTTTTGTGATTTTATGAACAACATACTGTAAAACATGTTGAAAAAGCGACATGCAATTTTAGCGAATTGTGGTACATTTGTAATAGCGAATCTCTCTTGTCATTGATTTCCTGTTTTCATAATAATTGTCTGTCACATGCCAAAACACATGCGCAGTTATCACCTCCATAAAAACAAAGAAAAACTAAGTTTAATTAGGAAGCACCCCAGATTTTTATGTTCCAGATTACTGTATACAAATTCCCAAGCCTTGGCCATTTTGAATTTATAATAGTCATTAGCAAATCAGTTCTCTCTCTAAATTCGCTAAAAAGACATGCTCGTGAAAAAGACATGTTTTACAGTAAATAAATACCGGTTAAACACAGTGTGAAAATCATAGAAATCTGAATATCTGTTCAAATGACATTAACTGCTTGTAAAGAATGATTTTTCTGGTTGAAATCAATGTTCAGTCATCTATGTAAGCTTGTCTTGGTATTGGGGTATATCCAGTATCATGCCCTCTGATCCAATACTATCAACGAGTTCACATTTCATGGTTCTCAGCTTCCCAATCATTGCTATAATAATAAATGTACAATTGTGTGATGGTTGACACATAGCAGACGGGGAAATTAAACTTCTGATATCATTATTGAAAAAAAAAACACATGGAACTAGATGCTTACCATAAAATCTATATTAGAAGCTGCATCCTTAATAGAAGGTACACACATTCTTTTTGAACAATTGCAAATGAAAATTCCTAATAGAAGCTGCATCCCCTCCGTTGCATTGCATCATTTCAATAGATTTTACAGTACTGTACTTTTGTAATATAATTGACATACCAAATTAAAAAAGCTGATTTACAAAAATCAAAACTTTGTAATCTTGGTCAATTGTACAGCCAGTATTTGAACGCAGTCAAGTGTTCAAAAAAACAAATTTGTCAAGTTGTTCAGTCACAACAATTTAGACTGGTTTTACATATGGATATCATTTCTCTCCAATTTCTTGAAGCAATGGGGAGGGAGTGGCTGGTTGGCTGGATGTAGGCAGTGGTAATTACATCATTTAATGGCCTTTGACCACCAGATTAAGTCTGCTCTTGGTAGTCCATCTAAAGTTTTAAATCAAAACTAACATGCACTATTAAAATTCATAAATTTTCTGGAACTATATGGAGTCATTGTGCATCACCAAAACACAAAACCATGGTGCGAAATACACCCAGCATTGTGAATATGCCGTGTCATAACTTTTGAATTAGCTACTGGTGTACTGGAAATATATTTTAAGTTCTTAGCATGTTTTTTCAAGTTATGAAATTATTTCAAAATTAGCAATATATTGGCTGAAATTTCTTAAACATCCTACATTCATCACGTGCAACAGGCTAAAAAACAACATTTTGCCAGCATAATCAAGGACATTGTCCTTTAAATCACTTATTTTTTTTAAAAGTTTTGATTAATCTTCAGAATGAGCTCCATGACTGAATTGGTCTGCAACAGCCAACAAAAAACAATTAAAATTTAATTACTAGATTAGACAATCAAATGTGTACAAACCTTGCAATGTGTCATGTAGCGGCTTGTTGCTTCCAGTTTTCATCTTTGATAAATTTTGTTTCAGTTTGGACAAAATTTGCTTTTCTGTATAACTGTACTTGTATTTTGTATCATCATCTTAAAAAGAATTAAAACACATCTATTGGTAATTGTTCATGCTGCGTTTAACTGACAAGTTTCAAGTTCCGCTATTACCTTAGAAATTTGCATGCTAGGGTGAAAACCATTCCACACTGTATGTGTATGTAGGGGGGGGGGGTTGATTTAGCAGTGTTAACATTTGACAGCTCATCAGAACACCGGGAACAAAGGAAACCAGCAAACAAATGGCTTGAGCTAATGATCACGCCCCCATAGTCGCATGAAAACTGACTGTTGCCGCTATAACTCAAGAGTTGCCTATTGTGTTGCTAGAAATACAAACTTCCACGAAAATCACTCAACGAATTCAAATTTATTTTAACCAGTTTATGTCATTCGTTGGCATAATGTATATGTCACCTATGACTAACTCCACCTTAATGTTTCCAGTATAGATGATTATATCGATGATAACTAGGCTTGTATTCATTCTGATTAAAATCTGATGTAGTGTACACGCTTTAATTATTTTGGCTATAAAATTAAATCAATTTTATTTTTTATTACTTTTGTTATTAATGCCTTTTTATTTCATTATTTTACTTTGATTTCGGGATTTTTTTTTTATTTTGCCCTTTTGCAATTACCAACACTTCAAAAAATAAATACTAGATCAAAATGAAAAAAAAAAAATATACAAAAAAAAGCCAAAACTAGGATCTTATTTTAATCAGATTTGTATTTATTTTAATAATATCTGTAACATTACTCACCTGACTGGCTATCAAATGTTAACTCGACCTTCAGTTTATTTCCATGGATTTCGTAATTATGCATAATTGTTACAGCCATCTTTGCTGACTTTATATTGGAGTACGTTACAAACCTTGGGGATAAAAACAGTATACTACAGCTACACAAACATCCATCCTAGTGAGATGAAACAGAGGCTCTTGTATGTGTTATGACCTGTATTTATCTTTAATTGCAAAGGTGTAGCTAATGTGATGACTGTGAAATTCCACTGGAAAGTTGATGTCAGTGTGATGTGAAATAATTTGGAATGTGCTGAGCACAGGTGATGTCAATTAACATTATGACATAATCTGTGGCTTTCAATACTTCCAGTGTGTGTGTGTGTGAAGAACATAGGTACCTTGGAATAATATGCAGACATGATTAGTTTTGAGATTTTTTTTTATTTATCCCATTTTAGCCTGTGTAGGAACAATCTCAAAAACTAGAGAACTGATTTTGATTAAATTTGCTACATATATTGATGCTGCACATCTGATGATCTTAATAACTTCTAATAACATTTACTCTTTCACTGACTGTGGGGAATTTTCATTTCCTAGGATATGTTTGTATGAAACAATGATTGCATTATGTTTACATGAGAGCCTTGCAGAGTTTAACTTTCATTTTATATTGCTAGAGCGAGAGTGACTGATTTGTGCTCATTTTTGAGACAAACAATCCTTTACTTTGAACACTATTTAATTTGCATGGCAACAGTCCACCCTATTTAAAGTAATCATACATTGAATGAAAATGCTTAGTCAGGACTTAGATCCTAACAATTTTTAGGGTCTATGGTCAGGAAGGTGACTTGACTTGACTTGATCCTGTAATATTCACAATGCTGATTCCACATACAGACATACTGTGGAAATGTAATTCCTGATGATCAACAGTAACCCTAGAACCTAACTGCCTCAGAAACTCCCAATGGACTGGTACTACGTACAGCAGTAAGCGATAGTGTGGCGATACTCTGTACACAGACAGGAGTGCAGCACTAGTATTGCAAAAAGGTACGGCACCACCTTTCCTTGCAGCTTCAATTAATAGTTCAATCATTCAATGTATATTTTACCACACTCAGATGTAGTTTGGGTGACTAGCAAATACTGACCTAGCTTGATAGCAGCACTGGTATCTCAGCGATAGTGTGTACTTTACTATTATCAA